CACCATACTTCCATCCTCGGTTTGATTTTTCAAAAATCCTTGAAATTTTGTAGACGTTTCCCATTTTGACACTAGATTTTATATTGGCAACAAATTGATGTGCGAAAATTATATTTCCTTTTCTTTAAAGCTATGACCTTAGAAGAAGTGTTTTAATAAACCCCATCGTCGCTATAGATATAGTGCTGTCAGAATTATTTAAATTTGCATACATTGAAGAGAATCAGTGAGCTCCCAATTATATCTTTATTCGATTTCAGGGTTTTTTCTTGTGTTCTGGTGGCCAACCGAAGGTACACATTTTCAGCTGACCTCTTTGGCAAGTAAAAACGATCATTTTGTTTGTTTACAAACTGCTGGACAACGAATGTTTTCACATCGGAGAAAACCAAATTCGGCAGTTCACGACTTTCGGCCGAAGCGAAGCAAAACCTTAACTCATTTGAGTCTATTTTCTTTCTTCTGCGGTGTAAGTTCTTGCACTTTTTGGAATTTCAATAACTTTTTGGAGCTCATTTTTCAATATTTGCCGAATGGAGTATTGCGATATGTTCAGCTGACGAGCCATTTTTCGGCCAATTCTCACCAAAGTGCTTTTGTACGCTTGTAAATAATATAATGAGCTGTCACTGGAATAATTTTAACAGCTGTCGGAAGAGTGGTTTAGAAATGACAGTTGGTTGCAGTTTTTTCATCTCACCCTGTATATAGGTGGACGTTTTCCTGTAGCCCCCATATACCTCCCAATATTCTGTATTTTGATGATTTTAGTAAAAATCTTCGATGAAATTGTTTGAAATTTTTAAAAATCCACTTTCGGCAATATTTCTACTAAAGTGATTATTCTGCAAAATTCCCAAAATCATCTTTTCTTTTCATAACATCCTCGTTGTGGCATAGCATAGCATATCAATATTGATTTGTTTGCAATCTAGTTTAGCAAATAAAATCTAGTTTTGCTATTATTTTTATTGGAAGCATGGTGAAGTACATTAGATTGAGTTCATGTGGTTGCTACAAGCACCAGGGTCGGTTATAAGAGGGGCTTTGTATTATTCCATTTGTCCAAACATCATACATTCGTATGGGTGGCTCAGGGGTGGCGGAATCGGTGGGGCAATAGCGAGCGCAATGAACGTTTGCTAGCTGGTAAGCTTGTAAAGTAATCTAATGTCTTAACCAATCTATTTATTGCGAGCTATGGCAGCTAGCTTGCTGCTCTACTCCATCCTAGTCTGTCATGACTGTTGTTACCTCTCTGCGGCGGCCGCTGTTGTTGCCATATTTTATTCGGATTATTGTGATGTTGGTGGCTTATTTATTTGGTTGGGCTGCCATTGTTGTTGATTATTAGCGTCACGACATTTTAACATTGCAACATAAATTAGAGTTGCTTCATGTTTGAGTGGCTGTTGTCATTGTCGTCGTCTTCGTCATCATCATGCTCTGCTGCTGCTGCTGCGGTAGTGGTGCGGTGCTGTCATAAGATTTAGTTGTCGTTAGAGAGCTAGTTAGTGGCTGGGCCATTGTTCGTCACACATACCTTCTGATCGGTTTGGAGTTCGAGCTGTGTTATGCTGACCCAGAAATCACGTTCAACTGGCATGATATTGATTACAATTTATGACATTTTTGTTCTGTACCTCTCCACATTGTTCTTGGGTTTCTTCTGCTGCGCCACAACTGTTGTCATCGTTCGACTATTTGGACTTCTTTTGTTTCTGTATGAAGCATAAGGTAGAATAAATTAAACCGATCAAATGGAATTCAGCCTAGAATCATACTCGACTTGCAATCGATGGTGTAAATCCACTTTTTGGTTTGCTGTACCAATGCCGAACAAAAGCTTGGTTGGTGTCGGATAAATTTACTTGAAATTTGGGTTGATGTTGTAATCTAGGAAAAATGATATCTTTATTCTTATGAGTGATTAGTTCGTTCAATTTTGGCATGGTTGTCAGCTACTTTTATTTTTTTGTAGAAATGTAGAATAGTACAAACCAACCGAAACAGTTATTTTGATTGGGAAAGAGAGCTAAGTATCAGATGGAATTTCGAACAAAAAACGTTCTACATCACAAAGTGTGGTTGGGCAAGAATGGAAATAGAAGCAAACATTACGTATATCTGGTTGCCCAAAAATTGGTATCATTTGTTGCAAATTTTCACTGTATGTTTGAATGAGTACCAACAAGATTAATGGTATCAGTCGGGTTTTCCTGATCTGACCTTAGTCTGATATAAAATTTACAACATACCTGATTTGGGCTGTATCGATCATTTTTTTCACACTTAACGAGATATGTTATAATTTGTGTAAAATTTGGAATATGCGTGAAGTACCTTATGTTGCGGACCAAAGATTTTCACTTCATCTAATACTGATGAAAATATTGGTAAGTGCAAAATTTTATTTTATAAATGATACTCATAATGTTCAACTTTTGTGAGGAAGGTATCATAAGGAGTGTGCCCATAGATTCATTATTCACTTCGGATCACGGATTGAGAGAGATATTTAGATATACCAAGTTTGAAAAGTATCGCTGGCTTGTTTCGCAAGTTTTATAAAAATATCATAATGGAAATAATGCGATGTGATATTTTAAATTAACCGGTATCGCGGCACCTTGTCGGACGCTGTGAATTGCAGGCGTTACAGAGAGATTACATACAAATGTTTTTATTTCAAATGCAAAGCTTGAATGACATGTGGATTCAACAAGCCGGTGCCATAGCGTAACAATTGACTTACTGAGAGGCAAGTTCGGTGAACATTTTATTTTAAGTTCGGGACTGGTCAATTGACCACCTAGATCGCGCGTTTTAATGCCTTTAGACTACTTTTTGTGGGGCTATGGGCTCAAACTCATTTCTATACAGATGAGGTCGCTTCAATTGGATTCAACGAATTGGAAGGCAACATTGAAGCATTTATTCGTGAGATACCGGTCGAAGTCTTAGATCATTTGAGGCGCAGTCGGGGACTGTACTATAAATTCTGTACTATAAATATTATAAATTTGAAAATCTTTCCAATAATTCTTAAAAAACACCCCTCATTTTTTAGATATTTTGAGGTTGTTGTGCGCGACAACTCTCTAAGGGGATATTCGATTTGATCCAAACCAACATGATATGAGCGCTACTTCCATACAGAACCCCCCCCCCTACAAAAGATAAACATTTACACAGAAAATGATTTAGCTCATAAAATAAGAAAGAATCATCCAATTTTCAGTTGTGAAAATAATTCCGATCCATCCCACCAAGTGCCTCCCAAAGAAGTGTCAAAGTATTGAATAATCATAACTTTTATAAAATATGAAATAAGATTCCGATTGTTTTCAAAATTCGCATATCTTAATATTTATATTGACATAAGATTTGGTGTGAAGATGGGATATTGCAGACTACTCCTTTTGGTACTTTCCACTCAAAGGGTCAATATTTTGAACAATTATAATGCTCATAAAATGAGAAATGATAATCCAAATATTTTAAACCTTCGAACGTCCGAATACATCTACAAATGCAAGATCTCGTGGGAAGATGGAATATAGCGGTTCACTCCGTCAGGTACCTCTCTCACATTTTGAATGTTTATAAACCTTATAACATGCGAAACAAGTGAGTGATTCTCTTCAAACTTAGTATATCTCAATATTTCACTCAATCAGAAATCTGGCCTGAATATGGGAGGGGTCAACTTTTAAGTAAAGTGGAAAAGTAATTATTTTCCAGGCCAGTGTAACATCTCTGACAATGAATCAGCAGATGAATTAGCAAGACGTGAATTCGAGTCAATCGATTTGTAGATCTGCAGCTCGATAAAGCCACCCTTGCGGTACTTCTTCCGAGTGATATATAAACATTACCCTTGGAGGTTTCAACAAATCTGACTAAATGAAAGGGGATGCGATGTATCTAAGAAAATTTGGCTGGTGCTCTCTGAGAAGAGATCAAGGTCGCTCATATCCATGGATAAATCGGACCTACAACTTTTGGTGGGAATAATCGAAGATCACAGTTACGTATGAGCCATGACCTTTAAATGAGATTACGACAACACCGATTACTGCAGGCCTGTTAAGATGAAGATGAAACTGAAACGGTAGAGCACTTACTCTGGAACTATCCAACTCTTTTCGGTATTACACATAGTCTTACAAGGAAGCAAATTCAGCACGACTTGTCTCCCTTCTCCGAAATTGAGCCAAAAGCCATTCTTCAATTAGCCAAAAGACTAAAGTGTCTAAAGACGATTCGTCGTTTGTGTATGAATCACACACAAATTTCTCTATCTTTTTTCCCTCCTTTCTCTTTTTTCTTAAACTTTAGGATGAACACAATAGACCACCAGGTCTCCAAGTACAGTGATTGTTACAAAGCAACTGCGCACCCTTTAACCTAAACTTATATATAATGTGAATATGGAACTTATCGGCCCATGCCTTCTTTTAATGCGAAACAAGTCCGCGCTAATGTAAATATAGGATATATCGGTCCATTCCTTCTGGTACCACCTCCTCAAAATATAAAAATTTCGAATAACAACTAATTAGGTAAAATTGGAAATAAAAAAAAAATGTATATATACGTTTTATATAAAGTGGATAAGTAGTCGATATAGTCCACACGAAGGCGGTTTTATATATCTGTCGGCAAAAACGTCTGATACTTTTTAACTTGTTTTTCATTATTACCGGCATATCTTCTTATTATTTATCTCAAAAAGTGATATTTTTCTTTGCATGTCAAAATATATCAAATTTGAATCAAAGTTATGCGATATTTTGCTGACTACTTCTACACATGAAGTTCTAATCAAAAACAACCCCTCCTCATTCTGAAAACACATACCTATATATAATTGTATTTTATTAAATCGTAGTTTATTAGGTTTTTATTTATAATCTTTTAGTTTATCTTCAACCATTATTTTTTATAATTTTAATTTTCTCACTTTTTTTTATTGTTTTTTCTTTCTTTTGTTGCAGGATAATGTCCATCAATGATTTGCCACCATTGCCAAAAAGTTTAAGCGGCATTAATAAAATGCTTGCCTCTGATTCCGGTCTCATTAGTGACGTGGATACCGAAATGGCCAGGAATGCCAAAAACAGTGAAAGCCAAAAAGAAAATAATAGCAATAGCAGCAACAACAACAATAATAATAGCAACATTAGCATTAAGGATACTGGTGACAAGTTGAACAATTCAACATTAATAATGGCGGCAACTGCAACTGCAACATCGTCGTCATCATCATCAACAACAACAACAACAGCAGCAGCAGGTTCCGCTTCCGCAAACGAAACTACAACAACGACAACACCTCTAAAAGAAATAAATGGCAATGAGACCATTTCGGAAATACCGCCCGCGATACCGGGCAGCAAATTGGATAATCAAATAGCAACGTTGCGTAAAGAAATGGTAAGTTCTCTCTCCCTCTGCATTTTAAATTTGTTGTTTTTGTTACGCTCCGAATGGCATTTGCATTGCTGTTGTTTACTTTTGGAACGCAGCGTCTATTTCACAGGGCCCCACGACCAACAATTAAATGCTCTTTGAATGCTCCGTTTGAACTTTTAACCAGACCCCCAACGCAAAAATATCTGTTTTTTTTTTTTGGCGAGACGTTTGTTTATGATTTTGACATTTATGTGTGCGGTTGGAGTTGGAGGTGTCTTTCTTCTTCTTCACCTCCAACGGCGTTTTTGTTTCGCTGTTAAACCCAATTACCGCCAAACAAGCCAATCTATCGGCCACAAAGTGTGGCAATTTATCTTTGCCTAGAGTTTCCTTCCTCTTGACGCTCTGTTTGGCTTCGAAGTGGCATTTCAGCTACAACAAAACAAAAGTAAAAGTCATTTGAACTCCAAACCGAAATAACGAACGAGCGAACCAACCAACCAGCGAACAAGCGTCAAGACAAATGATGTTGTGTTTGACAGTCTGCCTGCTTTGTTGGCTACGTCGATTGCACAATAGCCTCCTAAATTGCTGTCATTTTATAATGAAGATGATAATTTGCCATTCTCTGTTTGTATTTTTTCTTCTTCTTCTTTGTTTTGGTTTAGTTCTTTTAGATTTTACAGTTAATTCATTTAAAAAGTGATATAATATGTATTTAATGATGTGGTGGCAATGTGAAGTGGGGGAATGGCAGGGATGTAGTGGTACGTCAGCGGTTTATTGTTTTCATGGTGCTGAGAAAGTAATGTGTGAAAAAGTGGTTAGCTGCTTGGTATTTAAGATTCATTATAAGTTTTGTAACAATTACGGATTTGAGTTAGTTAATTGTGAAATAGGGGTGTGAATTGTGGGGTACTAAATTGGGCAGAACCAAAATTTTGTCCCATACCACTGAATACAAAAAAAAATTTTTTTGGTCAAAAATAGTGTATTTTTATAATGAACTGCCCAGGTCTTCTTTGTGACGTATGAATTGTAAACCAAGAATCAACATTTTTGAATAACCGATGATAAAATCAGAATAACCGACCGTAAAATCAGAAATACGCATCCGGTTCTATTCAAATTTCACACATGCCATTATTATACCCTCCACCTTGGAAAGGAGGGTATATTAACTTTGTCATTCCGTTTGTAACATCCTTAAATATTCGTCTTAGACCCCATAAAGTATATATATTCATAATCAGCATAAAATTCTAAGTCGATTTAACGATGTCCGTCTGTGTGTCTGTCAGTCTGTTTGTCCGTCTGTCTGTCTGTCCGTCTGTCTGTCTGTCTGTCTGTTGAAATCACGATACAGCCCACAATATTTGACGTAGAGCGCCAAAATTTCGCAGAGCTATTTGCATTGTGTCTAGGATGGTTGATATTGAAAATGAGATATATCGGTCCACGTTCTGGTATAGTCCCCATATAACGGTACCTCCCGATATTCGGTATTTTGATGATTTATGCCACATTTTTTCACGGATTTGTCTGGAAATTGGTATTTGTAGGTCATATCGGGTCCCTGAGCGTGTGGCAAAGCATTGCATGTATAGGTCCACGTTGTGGTATAGCCCCCATATAAAGGTACTTCCCGATATTCGGTATTTTAGTTTTTTTTGCCACATTTTTTCACGGATTTGTCTAAAAATTGGTATATGTGGGTCATAATGGTTTCCAGATCCGGTTTCGAAACATTGCATGTATGGGTCCACGTTTTGGCATAGCCCCCATATAACGGTACCTCCCGATATTCGGTAATTTGATGATTTTTGCCACATTTTTTCACGGATTTGTTTGAAAATTGGTATTTGTTGGTCATAATGGGTTCCAGCTTCGGTGGCGAAACATTGCATGCGTGGTTCCATGATTTGATATAGCCCCCATATAACGGTAGCTCCCGATATTCGGTATTTTGATGGTTTTTGCCACATTTTTTCACTGATTTGTCTAAAAATTGGTATTTGTGGGTCATAATGGGTCCTAGTTCGTGTGGAGAAACATTGTAATTATAGGTCCACGTTTTGGTGTAGCCCGCATATAACGGTACCTCCCGATATTCGGCATTTTAATGGTTTTTGCCACATTTCTTCTAACGTTTCTTTTACCCTAAGGTGGAGGGTATTAAAAGTTTGGCCCGGCCGAACTTAATGTTTTTTTACTTGTTTTTACTAACACAAGATCTGCTATGAACTCGAACGAACTCTTTCTGGTACTTTCCCCACAATAGGTTCAAATTTTTTGAAGAACAAAACTGTCATAAAACGCGAAATAAGCATCTAACTCTCTTCAAATTTCACACATCCAAACCTTTTTGCTAACGCAAAATCTTTTGTGAAGATGATAGATATCTGCCAACCGTTCTCGTACCCCACCCACAAAGGCTCACAATTTCCAATACTTATATTCGATTTCCTTAAAATTTTGCACATACCAATATTTTTATCTATATTAGGTAAAGTATGAAAATGGAATACTTCGGTCCACTATAACTGTTACCTCACGCATTTTTCCACATTTTTCAGAAATTTGCACATATCTTATATAAAGTATAGGAAGTAGTCGATTTAGTCCGATTTTGGTCAATATTGGCCAACTGCTTCGTAATCTCCCCCATAAAGGGTCAACATTTTTAATAATCATAACTGAAGGCTGAGGGTATAAATCTGTCGGCAAAACCGACTAATACTATTTTACTTGTTTTTTTTATATTCCAGACAATAAATGTGGACTTTTAAACATTATTTTATCAAAGAATCTTAGAAAAGATTTTTAATGGTCTCTTGACTAGACAGTGGCTTATTAAAAAATCGTGGATTTTTTGAACGATATTTTAAGCGACCTTTTGAGCAAAAGTCGTGGGTTGTTTGAAAAACATTTTTCAAGGACTTTTGAAGAATACTTTTCAAAGACTCCTGAAGGATGTTTTTTCAAGAACGTTGTGGTCAAAAATCTTGAAATTTTTAAAAATATTTTTATAAGGCCTGACTGAAAATTGTGTATTCTTATGGAATATTTTATCATGGACCTACTAATTAAATATCTTCGATCTTTTCAATAATATTTTTCAAGGTTTTTTTTAAGAACCTCCTGATCACAAACGTTGATTTTTGAAGAATATTTTTAAGAAATCTTTGATGTGTTTTATGAACAGTCCTAGATTTTTTTTAAGATTATTTTTGACTAAAAAACGCTGATTTTTAAGAAAAGTGTTCAAGGAACTATTGAAATCGTAGCTTTTTTGAAGAATTTTTTTCACAAACATCCTGACAAAAAATCTTGGATTTTTGGAGTATATTTTTCAAGGGCCTTTTTACCAAAAATGTTATATTTCTTAAATAATATTTTCCAAGGACCCAGGTGGAGCTCACAAGGTGGATTTTTAAAGAACATATGTTAAAGGACCTCCTGATCAAAAATCGTAGATTTCGGCAGAATATTTGTTAAAGGAAATTTTAATCAAAAATCATGGATTGCTTGAATATTTTTTCCAGGACCTCTCGACCTAGTATCGTTTTTAAAGTATATGTTTCAAGGACTTCCTGAAGAATATTATTCCAGAACCCGTTTTACTTAAATGGAAGAACGATACGAAAACGCGGATCGACACGACCCATTTACGAACTTAACCTGCCCACTGGTAAACTTTGCATGTATGCATAGTCTATCTCAATTCGTTCGAGAGATAGCGTGATTACAACAGACAGACGGACGAGCATCGCTAGATCGTCTTAGAATTTTACGCTGATCCAGAATATATGTACTTTGTAGGGTATATTCGAAGAGTTACAAACGGAATGACAAAGCTAATATACCCTCCATAGAATGGTGGAGGGTATAAAAATATGTTCGAAGTATCTTCTGAAGAACATTTTTTTCACGGACCTTCTGGCCAAACATCGCAAATGTATTTAAATGTTATACTATTTGTTGGTTAGTATTTATACACTCAGCTAAAATTTGAGAGTTACGTGAACTGAACAACCTATTACAAGGTAATGTAAACAAACTGACCCCGCATTACCAAAACTGGAAAATAATGACATATTCCTTCAATCTTCGCAGTCATGACACAGTGTTTGAAACATGGACATGTCCCTTGTAAAATTATGGGTTAGTTAGTGGATTTGTAAATAGTTAAGAATATTAACAATTGGTTAAGAAACTTATTATATCCTAACAAAAATGTTTACTGGGATCAATGATTCACAATCTTTTCAGTTTGTAGGTGGGTACATGGTCCTTATCAAATGGTTCTTCTTTTTCGTTCTTCGCATTCAATATTTAGTATCAGTTATTGGACCAAAACTATTATTATTTTTTTAATTTCTTGGGATCCACTTCTTTGAATTTTCCCAGACATACTTTGGCATAAATATTCTCTTTTATAACAAAAATCCTCCCTCACCCCGTTTAGGGTATTATCGCTTCACAATTTCTGTTACTCCCGCAGTACTGTGTCTGTCTACCGGAGCATTTTCTCACTCATTGTCAGTGGTCATTTTACGGTTATAAATTAGACGAAAAGAGCATGATCTCATCTCGTCGCCTCTCTGTGGCCGTCATCAGGGGTGATTTAATTACCAATGCCGTGAGATAGCCGCTGGCTTCTATAGAAGTCATGGTTGGGGAAATGTTAACCTTTTGTCTCCAGGTTTGTGTTGTTGGTCAAATGAAATGGAGTGGATGGCGATGGTCAAGTGTTGAAAACCAGCACTGACTCCGGTAGAAACGATGACAGTGTCACTGCCATGGTGTGATGACCTGTTAAAAGAAAGTTAATAAAAATTTTAATTTTTTTCAAATTTAATCTCCATCTAATCTTTTGGTGTATTTTAAAAATTGTTGTTTTGGTTTTTATGTTATTTTGCTGATGTAGCTGTTGTTGTTGTTGCATTGATTCATATAAATTATTCTTTGTTGTGTCTGGTTGTGGTTGATATTCACTCCACATTCTCCCCATGAAGCAG